AAGTAACACAAAGTCCCAGAAAAACAAGCCCAAAATTTCACTTTAAAAAATAAAATAAACCCACAACAATCCGAAATAAAACAGTTAACTTAAACTCTAAAAGCCAAGAATAGTAATCCAATAAGTAGAAAGTAAGTGTCCCAAAACCATGGATTTAGGATTTAAATAAAAATCTCCTGCACTGATCGAGAACTTAAATTATCTCAATCCAATGAAATTAAACTTAATTCTACTTTAGCCAAAAATTAGAAATTACAAAATTATAAAATCCAAGAATTAAGGTTATCAGCTTAGGGAAAAAAATCCAAAGACACTATTTATCTCTAAAAAGACAAGTCAGAGAACGCGGGGCGTTACAACACACATAAATATGGCCGAGTATGAAGTATGCTCAATGGGCGTCCAAGCTGCTATTGATATGAAGGTTACGAAACTTAAAGTTTTTGGGGATTCTATGCTAGTAATTCATGAGCTAAGAGGAGAATGGGAAACAAGAGATGCTAAGTTGTTGCCTTACAAACAACTCATAACAGAATTGTCACAAGAATTTGATGAAATCTCATTTGATTATTTGCCAAGAGAAAATAATCAAGTAGCAGAGATGCATTAGCCACATTAACAGTGATGTTCAATTTAGAACTCAATGAGGATGTCTGTCCGATTAAAGTTGGGAGGAGAGATGTCCCAACTTCTTTTATGAGCATTGAGGAAATACCCGACGGTAACCCCTGGTTTCATGACATCAAGCAATATGTCAAGAGTAAAAAATATCCACGAAATGCTTCAGAAAATGATAACCGCACCCTCCGCAAGTTGGCAACAAAGTTTTTCTTAAACAGAGAGATACTGTACAAGAGAAACCATGACATGGTTCTCCTAAGGTGCGTCGAAGGAAGAGAGGCCAATAAAATTATGGAGGAAATTCATGAAGGAATTTGTGGCACTCATGCAAATGGGCACATGATGGCTAGACAAATTTTAAGAGCTGGCTATTACTGGCTAACTATAGAGACAGATTGTATTAAATATGCAAGAAAATGTCACAAATGTCAAATTTACTTGGACAAGACTCATGCTCCTGCTTCTCATTTACATACTTTGACAGCCCCTTTGCCTTTCTCTATGTGAGGCATGGATGTGATATGACCTATTGAACCTAAAGCATCAAATGGGCATCGATTCATTTTGGTAGCCATAGATTATTTTACTAAATCGGTAGAAGCAGCTTCTTACCGAGATGTGAAAAAAGGAGTTGTAGTCAAATTCATCAAGAAAGAAATTATTTGTCGTTATGGTCTTCCTGAAAGCATAATTTACGATAATGCAAGGAATTTGAACAAAAAATTGATGAGTGAGCTCTGTGAGCTGTTTAAGATAAAGCATCTTAACTCAACCCCTTATCGACCTAAGATGAATGGTGTAGTGAAAGCCGTCGACAAAAACATAAAAAGAATAATTGAAATGATGACTGTAACTTACAGGGACTGGCATGAAATGCTTCTGTTTGCCTTACATGGTTATCGCACTTCAGTCCGTACCTCTACTGGGGCAACGCCATTTTCATTAGTTTATGGTATGGAACTGGTTCTTCTCATTGAAGTAGAAATCCCATCATTGAGAGTTATCATGGAAGCTAAGTTACAGGAGGCTGAATGGGTCCAAAGGCGTTATAAGCAGCTAAATTTTGTAGAAGAAAAGAGGTTGATGGCATTATGTAGAGGACAACTGTAACAAAGAAGAATGATGAAAGCCTATGACAAGAAGGTGCGCCCAAGAAGGTTTAGATAGGGAAATAGTTCTAAAAAGAATTCTCCCATTACAGAAAGATCATCGAGGCAAATGGACCTCGAATTATGAAGGACCCTTTGTGGTGAAAAAGGCTTTCTCCGGAGGAGCACTAGTTCTGGCCAACATGGATGGCAGTGAATTTTTAAATCCAGTCAACTCAGATCATGTTCGAAAATATTATGCATAGTTTCTGATGTATTTCGAAAAATTTCACTTTGATCTCAGTATTATGCTTGAAAGGCAGTTTTGTGTATCCATTCTCTATTATAGCCTACAAATTTGAATCACATCTTTGAGACGTGTATCTGACTGGGCGTTTATGCTGAACGCACGCGCTAAGCGTGGTAACAATTATATAGATGCAAGCGCACACCTGTCAGAGTAATATAAAATGGATGGAGTATCCAAGTATCGATCCTCAAGGACTTCTAAACAATTTCCAAACTCTAAAGTTTTAAAGAATAGTGAATGTTGGAATGAGTGATTCTTGTAAAATGGGAAGTGGTC